TATCCACCATCTACACAACATTACCACGGTACCACACTCCTTGCTCCTCGCCGTGCTGCAAAGCATCCGACGGGCCGACAACCAGGAGGCTGCAAGCCGCGGTGTCGTGCATGCAAGGCTGCGAGTGGACACACAGGAGGAACAACCACCAACGTCTTTATGCTTCAAGCTGCGCAACGACCGGTCCACACCAGCGCTTTGGTTATTGAACGAAATTCCGAGCTTTCTGGCAGTTACTGCGTTTACCGACCCCCCTCGAGAAACGCTCATACCGAGCAAAAAATCTCGAATGATTTAAATTTTTTGAATTCAAACTGTTAGAAGGGAGAGAGAGGGATTGTTGTGGAATATGATGGATGTATTACTGAGGCTGGAGGGCGAGTATATATTAAGTACAAGACTTGAAGGGCAAGACGCCTCTCCTGTAGATAAGGTAGGAGACAAATTATAAATCCGAGACTACCAAATATATGTATTCCAAATATATCTCTAACATCCCCCCGCAGTCCTAGCGGTAGCATGGTGGACGGCCAGACTGGAGAGAATAGCAGCCGACAAGCTGACATCACCCCGCAGTTGTAGCGGGAGCATCGTGGACGGTGTCGCGTGCGGACGCGTTGACTATAGAGGAAGCCGATGAGTTGCTCAAGCGGATGATAACCCTTTGTGTCGATGTCGATGTAGCCGAGAGTGTAGGATGCTGTAGCAGTGGTCTAGATAGCCATGCAAAGAACGCCATGGTCAATGTCGAGGGCATCACCGTGGAGCCATGGGTGCAAGGAGGCGCGAAGTTAGTCATGGGCGCAGTGATGTCGAAGAAGCGGTGCGCCAGGAAGGAGAATGGTGTTGACAACGCGTCGCGCCTTGTTTGCCAAGCCCAGGAACACATCATGGACAAAGGCACGCATCGAAGTTGCAAGCACCGTGTTGGGAACGTACCATGCAATTTTAAAAAAAAAATCTTACGCTCACGCAAGATCTATCTAGGAGATGCATATCAATGAGGGGGAGAGTGTGTTTCTACGTACCCTCGTAGACCGTAAGTAGAAGCATTTGACAACACGGTTGATGTAGTCTAACTTCTTCTAGCTCCGAGTGACACTACAAGGATTCCGGTCTATTGCAACAAAATTTATTGCTACAACTATCTTTCGTTGCAATAAAATGCTATATTACAACAAAATTCCAGTTCGTGGTAATAGGATCTACATAATGCCACATATTCGTTTCATCGCGCTAGGTACTCATTTTGTTGCAATAGAAGCCATGTATTGCCACAAGCTGCATCAGCATTGCAATGTGGTAGTGATATTGCAACAGTTGCGTCCCGTTGCGTGGATTGGTCATTTTGTTGCAATAAGGACTAGGTATTGCGACAAGTTAAATCTTTTTGGCAATATTTAGACATATATTGCAACAATTCTGACATATGGCGCTAGCCATAGATACTGTTGCAAAATACATGGCTTCTTATTGCAACAAAACATGTATTGGTTGTAATAGGGCGATTTTTTGCCTCACCATCGTTGCGTTGCAACAAAACACATGTATTAGCAGTACCATGTGTCATGTCGCAACGGCTGGCAACGAACACCATGTCGTGGCAATAGGTACCTATTGCTACGATTGGGTACCTATTGCGACAAACGCTTTTGTGGCAATAGACCCAGATCCTTGTAGTGTGATCAAGTAACGAACGTACGACACCTCCGAGTTCCGCACACGTTCAGCTCGGTGACGTCCCTCGCCGTCTTGATCCATTAAGGTGTCAAGGTAGTAGATGATTTCCGTCAGCACGACGGCGTGGTGACAGTGATGCATGGTGAAGTGATCCGTGCAGGGATTCGCCTAAGCACCGTGAGAATATGACTGGGGGTGTAAACTGTGGAGGGGGCGCCGCACACGGCTATTAATTGATGTTGTGTTTGTGATAGGGCTCCCCCCTCACATATATATAGGTTGGAGGTAGAGGAGAGGAAGCCATGGGGTGCCCAAAGTAGGATCCGAGTCCTACTTGGGGTTTTCCCAAGTGGCGCCCTCCCCTTCAATAAATTGCCGGAGGGGGAAGGAAAGGGGGAAGAAGGAAGTACTTCCTACTTTTCCTTTTTCCCTTCCCCTCTTTCCTTTTTCCTCTTTGGCCGGCCCATATGGGGGGCGCACCAGCCCCTTGTGGCTCGTGCGTTCCCCCTCTTGATCCATAAGGCCCATATCTTTTGTCGAGGGTTCCCGGAACACCTTCAGGTGATCCGATATGTACCTGGTACCCTCCAGAACACTTTCAATCCGAATACCATCGTCCTATATATCAATCTTTACCTCTTGACCATTTCGAGACTCCTCTTCATGTTCGTGATCTCATCTGGGATTCCGAACAACATTTGGTCACCAAATCACATAACTCATATAATACTATATCGTCATCGAACGTTTAAACGTGCGGCCACTACGGATTCGAGAACTATATAGACATGGCCGAGACACCTCTCCGGTCAATTACCAATAGTGGAACCTAGATGCTCATATTGGCTGCCACATATTCTATGAAGGTCTTTATCGATCGAACCGTTATGGCAACATACGTTATTTCCTTTGTCCATTGGTATTTTACTTGACCAAGATTCGAACGTCGGTATCTTCATACCAAGTTCAATCTCGTTACTAGCAAGTCTCTTTACTCATTTCGTAATACATCATCCTCCAACTAACTCATTAGTCACTTTGCTTGCAAGGCTTGTTATGATGTGTATTACCGAGAGGGCTCAGAGATACCTCTCTGATACTCGGAGTGACAAATCCTAATCTCGATCCATTCCAACCCAACAAACACCTTCGGAGATACTTGTAGAGCATCTTTATAATCACGCAGTTAGGTTGTGACGTTTGATAGCACACAAGGCATTCCTCCGTTATCCGGGAGTTGCATAATCTCATAGTCGAAGGGATATATATTTGACATGAAGAAAACAATAGCAAAAAAATTGAACGATCAATATGCTATGCTAACGGATGGTTTTTTCCATCACATCATTCTTCTAATGATGTGATCCCGTTCATCAAATGACAACACATGTCTATGGTTAGGAAACTTAACCACCTTTGATTAACGAGGTAGTCTATCAGTGGTTACTAGGAACACGGTGTTTTGTCTATGTATCCACACATGTATCAAGTTTCCGGTTAATACAATACTAGCATGAATAATAAACATTTATAATGAAACAAGGAAATATAAAAACAACTTTATTATTACCTCTAGGGCATATTCTCTTCTGTCTTCCACTTGCACTAGAGTCAATAATCTAGTTCACATCACTATATGATTTAACACCCATAGTTCACATCGCCATGTGACCAACACTGAAAGAGTTTACTAGTGTTAATTATCTAGTTCACACCGCCATGTGATTAACACCCAAAGAGTACTAAGGTGTGATCATGTTTTGCTTGTGAGAGAGGTTTAGTCAATGGGTGTACCACATTTAGATCCGTATGTATTTCGCAAATTTCTATGTCTATAGTGCTCTGCATGGAGCTACTCTACTTAATTGCTCCCACTTTCAATATGTATCCAGATCGAGACTCAGAGTCAACTGGATTGGTGTTAAATCTTGCATCGACGCAACACTTTACAACGAACTCTTTATCACCTTCATAATCGAGAAACATTTCCTTAGTCCTCTTTAGGTACCTAAGGATAATTTTGACCGCTGTTCAGTGATCTACTTCTGGATCACTATTGTACCCCCTTGCCAAACTCATGGCAAGGCACACAACGGGTCTGGTACACAACATGACATAATTTATAGAACATATGACTGAGGCATATGGAATGACTTTCATTCTCTCTCTATATTCTGCCATGGTCGGGTTTTGTGTCTTACTCAACTTCACACCTTGTAACACAGGCAAGAAGTCTTTGTTTGACCGATACATTTTGAACTTCTTCAAAAATTTATCAAGGTATGTGCTTTGTGAAAGTCTTATCAAGCGTCTTGATGTATCTCTATAGATCTTGATGCCCAATATATAAGCAGCTTCACCGAGGTCTTTTATTGAAAAATTCTTATTCAAGTATCTTATTATGCTATCCAGAAATTCCATATCATTCCCGATCAACAATATGTCATCCACATATAATATCAGAAATGCTACCATATAGCTCTGGCAGCGCGGCGGTGGCCTGGTCGAGCTCGGCTCCATGGTTGACGGCTACTAAGCTGGATCTTCCTCGGGCTGCCATAGTTGCGAGAGATGAGAGAGACGTATCAGATGGGAAGAGGAAGGGAAGGGACAGGCGGCGGAGGAGCTACTCATCGGCAGGCTCCGGTGACCGAGCGTAGGGATGAGAGGGGGTGCTCTTGGCCGGCACGGCCGCAGGACTCGAGGAGCGTGGAGGAGGTGCTTCCGCGCGAGGCTCCCTAGCTGCAGCAAGAAATGCGGTGGGACGTGGTTGAAGTGTCGCTGCGGGAGGAGAAAAATAATCGGGAGGCAGGGCTCCTGCGCCATGTGTGGATCAAGCGGCTACCGAGTTGTTCGGATCTGATGCAAATTCCAGGTCGTCCGGAAATTACAAAAATTGCAATATAAAAGAGGACGAAGAAATTCATCGATTGACCATTTAATCGCAGGATTATCAAGGAAGACATGACACCATTGATAATGAATCACCATAATCAAAGGGCGGGATTGCGGCTGTCATGAGGACGCGAGGGAAGAAATTAACAGGACGTGGCACCATTGATTGGGAATCGCGATAAATGAAAGGTGAGATTGCGGCTGTCATGGGTAGACAATCTTGCCAAAGGATTTGATCTTAGTAAATATGCAAGACAACAAATTAGTGGGGATTCCTTTCATCAAATTTTGCCTTGCTGAATCTCCACAGAAAACATGCGGGATAGATCCACCAATGTTTTTCTTGACGTGTATACCTTCTAATGTTTGGCTGGGACCCAATTATCCGAACCAAATAATGTGCCATTTATATTACCGATGCACAGTTATTCGAGCATAGAATTATATCCCCGAGACCCCGACGAAGGTGGGCATTCAGGGTTGCAGGTAGGGCAGTTGTTCTGGCACTCACTCAGCGTCCTATAACACGGGCCGTCCTTATTGTGGCAGCAGTAGCACGTACCACTGTGCCCATCTTTGAAATGGCATAAGGAGAAGCGGCTGCAAAATATCAAGGTAATTTTGCTCTCGCCTACAGACGTTGAGTTGAAGATGGTAGCGTTGGTACTTGTTTTTGCCGCATGACCATCTTGGTTGACCACCGTTTGCTCATTATCGAGACCACCTATATATTATGTTTAAGATTAGTATGCAGTACCTCAGACGTATATGTATGTATGTTCTGAAAAATTAGTGGCAAAAAGTTAACATGAGATCCTAATGACGAAGCTGATTTTTTTTTTGCGGGATATATAGTACTTACACGGTGCACACACGGCAAGGCATCCAATGAAGAATATCATGGTCGCCTGCACTAGACTGCTCCCTCTCATATTGGTAATCTCTTGCTTGACAAACTCAGTTCTTGTCGAGTGTAAGGTTCCAGTAAGAAATAGTTGGACTCCAAATGTGGCAGACAAGGACTGCAAGTTTATAAATAGCAAGAGGCTGGGATATATTGCACTATAAAGATTAGAAAGATATCCATGCGCACGAGATATACGTTCGTTAATGTTCGAGATTTTTACACATATAATATTGAGCGAGACAAGCACTAGCGTACACGTGCAATCTTGGATCCTTAATGATTTCCATGACCGCAGTCCCAGTGCACTCTATATTAAGCTAAACCATCCGTCTAGATGCATAGGGTGTCTATAAGAGCATCCACATCCGCATACAAGAAATCCGGTCCCTTAAATGTCCGCAGACGTGTCCAAAGACAGTAATCGGTTTTTCACCTCAAATTTTCTCTTTCACGGATACCTCAATTACGAATCCTCAAATTCATACAATTTGATGCAACGTATGTAAAATCCAATCTAAATATTCGTCGAAGCCATGGGAGTGTCCATGTCCTGCGGGCAGCTGAGCCGCTCAACGTTAAGGTGCGGTCGGCGGCGACATAGAATAGGACATGGGTCACAGTCCGGCTCATGGGACTCGAGGCGCCACTGTCTCCCATGCCCTGGCCTACTCTTTCTCATCGAAGCCAGTTGCCTCAATGTCGTCGGTGGATCAGAGTTTCATGATAGACCAGTCATGGTCGGAGCCCGACACATTCACCACCAAACGGTTGCAGCGCCAAGGGGAGCCCGTCACATCATTTAAAGTTTCATGTAAGACTTTGCCCCCTTTTAATGTCGATAAACTATTTTTAGGACATTAAATAACTTTCTAGGTATTTAATGTAGGTAAATCCACTTGAAGTCTTAAATATAGCAGACAGCCCCGAAACAATGCCAAATTTTGGCATGTCACATGTAACGGTGTATGTTATGTGTGGAAAATGTTCGAACCCTAACTGAGGAAGGGGCGGTCGCTTCACATGCAAACTGATACTAATGGTGTGTATTTAGTGTGGAAATTTTTTGAAGGTGAACCGACAAAGCAGCGCTAGATTCAGATGCAAACTTGGTAATTTCCTTCTTGAAACCTAGTTTCTTCCTCAGATATGTTCCGGTTTGTAAGGAGTATGCGTGAAATTTCTTAGGAGACATACTTAATTTTTACCGCAGCCTCTAGAGGTCATATCATGACACTATGCAAAATTTCATGATTTTCGGGCTTTGATTGAATTTCTGAGAATTAAAATGCTAACAACCATCAAATTGGTGCGTGAGTCTAACCCACTTGTTTTCCATGACTCCTACTGTTTACTTAAACTAGTAAGAGTGCACGTGCAACGCACTTATCCTAACAAACTACAATAAAAACATGAATTATGTCTTGTTATTTTACGTGAACATTTAAACGCCTGTTACGTGAACATGTATGTCTTGTTTGACCGGTGAAAAACTTCCATTGTTGAAATGTTGTGATCCCAAAATTCCAAAAACAAAATGAAAAAACCCGCGCATACCAATACACATGTTTTCACATAAAATTGACGATCACATAAATAAATTGTAATTGTTAATTATTACAAAAATACTTAAAAATAACAACTAAGCAACATTATCTAGTAATCATTATTTGATGATGATCCTGTCTGGAAGGTCCATCATTTGATGCGATCTATAATGCTTCGTTCTAAGACTGGGATATTGTTTAGAGCTTCATTCTCTTCATACTTCAAAATATGAACCAAAAATCGCTTCCTTAGTTCAAAATCATCCTACATATTATGCATTGTATAACATTGTTATTAAAAAAACATGTGTAACATGTGTAGAAATGAGCATGGTGTTAATACTTACCTTGGGTACGGGAAAATGTAGCGTCCCATCGTGCCATGAGTGCATTAAATTGAAAACCAAATAACCAGACAAGGGACTGCATGTATGAATGATACTTGCGAGTTGAATGAATCAATTAGGATTGTGATGTATTGACAAGATTCTTACCCGTATGAGTTTGTGGGAACAACAGGAACTTTGCATCCCCATATCAAAATGTTGTCCTTGAAGGCAGGGTTTGCAGCTTGGAGTACAAGGTTTATATCGTTGAGCATAGTTTTAAGTATATGCTTTCCGAAAGTAGGTATTGAAAGTGGGTCCAAAATAGAAACAACTTGTTTATGTTGGTCCAGGGTGAACAATAAAAAGAACCCAAGAATATCACAAGTCAATAAAATCTACAATGATGCATGCATTTAGAAATACATCAATCATTATCATTCATTAAGACTAAATGAACAATGAATTTGAATTAAAATCTTACCATATCACATTCTGAGATATGATACTCATTGTTGTCAGGCGAGCTATCAAACAGTTGTGCCAACATAGCAATGTCCATACCGTCACAATTACTTGGTGCTCATGCATAGTGGCACATGGAATATAATAATGTAGGAAACATTAGTAGAATGAGGCAAAATGGAAATTGTGATTAAAATAACTTACACAGAATCGTAGATCCATATAGTGTACTGGGACGTCTCTAGCAAGCCGGACTTCGTGTCACACTAGTATCCTCACAACCATGTTAAAACAATCATCATCCATCTACTCATCATTTTTTAATATGTTCTTTGTCTCAAGTTTAAACTAGTAGGATAAGGTTTAGAGATTTTCACCCATTTGGTCCTGTGAAATAGAAATTCATGTCAAATATAATAATACAATAGTACAAATTTATTAGAAACAAAAATAAAATGGAAAAATGCGTCTTACTCTAGCAACGGGACATCATCAACCATGCTTATGAACAAGCAAAGTTCATCTATTAAGTCGTCGTTTGTTGGAGTGACAAATGGGAAAGGATAAATGATTGCGACATGTGCTCAACTTGTAACGACGAGTTGGATGCTTTGGGTTTGTTAGGAGATCTTTCTACAATCATGCAATCGGTGTGATCCATGTTGGTGTCATCATCATCCAAGTCTCGGTTTCTTATATCATCATCATTGAATTCCAAGTCGACTAAAATCATAGGTAATTTTGTTCTAAAATCTGTCATATGAACCTAAAGTGAAGTAGTAATAATAAGACTTAGTTTTCAAATAATGATACAACACAAAATAATTAGTATCATGATACGATGCAAAATATATACTTGTTCGGGAGTGTCGGACAAACTATCTCCTATGAAGTACTCCATGTAATTTAACATCCAGAGACTACAAGATGACCTGCATGATAAAGAAATTTTGATATGTATAATAACAAGAATATTGAAAAAATATTAGTATTACAAAATGATGACGACTGAACCACAGAGTCATACCGGAGACGCTCAATAAAAAAAGAATTGAATAATGTTTGCCACTAATATAAATCAAATGACCAAAAGAGCTATCAATAAAATAAGGCTTAGATACTCTTACCCACTTAGATTTTCGGGCTTCGATTGAATTTTTGAGAATTAAAATGCTAACAACCACCAAATTGGTGCATGAGTGTAACCCACTTGTTTTTGACTCCTACTATTTACTTAAATGAGGCTTAGATACTCTTACCGCTCTGCGACTTTACCACAGACTTAGCACACAACCCAACAATTACTTACTTTACCACTATTACCCTTAGATAGTGTTGGTTAACATGTCATGTGCTATATTGATTGTGAGTTACTGTATGACTATGGATGATGATCGAGTTGTTATATGACTCTGATGATCATGATGACGAGGTCGTACTACTTCTCATGTGCTAGAATGATGATGAGTTATTATATATATGCCATGGATGATGAGTTGTAACGTGACTATGGATGATGATGATGAGTTATTATTATATGACTATGGATGATGAGTTATTATATCGTTTGGTAGAAGAAACACAAATTAGATTAAAGTGGATGAATCCAAGTGAGCAAGTTGAATTGGTGGGATGATATGTTGTTGGGACGGCACACAAGTGTTGAATAAAGGAGTCGACACATGTCTGCCGTCCCAACATCATATTGCCTGACTAATTCAACTTGCTCGCATAAATCTATCCACTTTAATCGAATCCGTGTTTATTCCACAACCTCTTCATTGCTACTATATAAAAAATGTATAAGTGTGTACAAATACAATGTAAAATAAAGAAATGAAATAGCAATAATAGTAGTGGCGCCAAAAATAGAATCTACTACTATTTAGTAGTAGCGCGGGTCCAAACCTGCGTTACTGCTAACACCAGTAGCAGTAGCGTGTGGTCAGACATGCGCTACTGCTAAGAATTAGTTGTAGCACCCTGGCAGTAGCGCGGTCCCCGCACTACTGCTACTGCTAGCCCTAGCCCTAAAACCCTCATGGAACAATATGATAGTTTAGTATGTGGAAATTTCTAATCAAAAGCTGTAGTTGCTTGGATGACTGAGAACAAAGTTTGTTAGTTTTCCAAAGAGTTTATTTTTTACACTTTGGCTTGTCGATAGATTATTACATGATCATGAGAATGTCAGGACCCCGACTCGATGTCACATCGATCTAGCCAGTAACACTTCATATCACTTTGCGGCCTCACGCACGGTGTTCCCACGGGTGTCGCCTTACCTTTGCCCGGGACCGTTTGCGCCTTTTGGCTCACGTATATGATAGTGTCGCTAGCATCCATATGATAAAGAGCCCGGGCTGACATGACTAGTCGTAAACCCAAAGTGGCACAGACTTACAGGGACAGGCATCCATGACCCAGCTTCGAACGTGTCGGTCATCAGCAAGTGGGTCCGGGCTGTAGCACTGGGCTAGCAGGACTCCGGTAAACCGGGCTGTAGCGGGCTAACAGGACTCCGGTACTCAAAGCGTGACATTTCCCCGAAGGGACAGACACAGGAACGAAGAAGGACACATGCCGGCCAGCCTAAGTGTTCCAGAGCAGTAGCAAGCTACCATGGCTCAGCGGTAACACTAGGAGACATTTCCCGATAAGAGAGGCTACTAAAGATAAACAACTAGATA